TGTTTCTGTTGTGTTTTGAGAAGAAGAACCCAAATTGTTGGACAATTTGTTTGCAATTGTATGAGGAAGTTGCTTTGGTATTATAGGAGGTCGTAAGGGTTTTGAGAATGGTGAGACATAAGTTGTAGGAACTTTAACTGCAGAGGTAGTCGACGAATTGTTTGCGACACTTGTTCTTCCTTCCATTATGAAAAATGAACTGTTTTTTTCGGACCACTCATAGAAAAGTTTGAAATAAACCGTTTTCGTCAACGGAGACCCCATCTATAATTTTATTTTATTGAAAAGTCTCCGTTGGCAAACCGTTCCATCTCAAATATTTGAGAAGATAACTTCACATTTTGACTTTTAAATACATATTTTTCACCATCGGACAAACTTTTGACTGGATGGACTTTACACGAACATTACACTTGTCAAAATATTTTTAACATACGATAGTATATATTTGTTCGAACAAATAATGGTCTATCGTCAACGCTCATAGAGATAGACCCACTTTTCTAAAGTATATATTTGAGTACTTTAAAAAATATTATAGAACAATATAACAAATATTTTACAAAACTGACAACACTTTGACCAAGTAGTTTTTTGTGCTGAACAAAAAGTGTCATATAAACATCTGTCAAAAACCGCTTTTTAACTTCACTTAAAATGCCACGTAAGCTACGTAAGAATATACGTAAGAGGAAGGGAGCATTGAAACATCCAATAGTAAAACTGACACCACAACAACAGTTGCAACAACAAATGATGAATGACCCCACTATGTTGCAACAAATGTCAAGCAACCCTATGCTTTTAAACCGAGTTATTGGTGCACAGAGTGGAGGTTTAAGAGCGGCACTTTTAGCGAAAATGGCAGGCTATGGTGGAGCTGCAGACGGAACAGCTTATAACCCTCAAAGTCAAATGAATTTGAGTTCACTCAAAAATCAAATAACAGATGTCAAAAAGTCAAACATAGACATACAGAAACAAATAAGCGAAAACGAAAAGAAACTAGAATATGACAGACACACAAAGAAACTCAATGAGTTAAACGTAGAGAAAAAGAAGAAAGAAGAACAACTGAAAGAACTAAGTACAGAGGAATATGCGAAAAAAGTGTCAGAAAAAGCAGCAGAAGTAGCAAAAATGGAACAAGATGTTATAAATTTGAAAAACCATACTACTCAATATAAAGTACTGAAAGATGAAGAATAAAACAAAAAGCCATGAAGACATATATGGATAGCGATGAGTATAAAAAAGAAGTTGAAGCAAATGTAAAGGCAGAAAAACTTTTACAGTTGCAAAACCAAACCGTACAGTATGAAAACTTAGCACAAGAAAGTAAAAATAACGACGCAGCCATGCAAAAGGCAATGAAAAGCGCAGAATATATAAAAGCTAATAATGACTGGTTAGATGCCCAAGCCAACGCCAAAGCAGCCCAACTTATAGGGTCAATAAGGACAAAAATACAAGCGGATGAAGACAGTTCAAATGAAGCTTTAATGAATGCTGACTTTAAGAATGCCTTCGAAGCTCTTCATAGTAAGGTGAAACTAGTGAACGACTTCTCATCTGGAAAGAAACTGAAGTCTGAAGGTTTCGACAAAGAGTTAAGAGAAGTAGCACAAAATATGACGAAAATAACAGATGCAGCAACGAGACAGGCAGTTCAAAGTGCCTATGACGCCGTTAGAGCAGCTGTTGTGGAAAGTCAAGAAAAAGAGTTACAACAGACCAAAACAGACCTAGTAAATGCTTTCTTAAAAACGAAAAGTCAAGTAGGACATTATGCTGCAGATGGAACATATGTGCCAGCTGGTGGAACTTATATACCACCAAACCCTCCAAGAGAAGCACCTGCACCAGGACTACCTAAAACATTTACATCGTCACATGGACACAGACACAGGCATGCACCAAAACCAACACAACAACCAACAGTTCAAAATCCAGCACCACAACAACAACCAACACAACAACCACCTCCACAACCAGCACAGCAACCACAAACAGAGCAAAGACATAAAAGAAGTAGAGAAAAAGGAAACCAAGAATTCTTAAAAATGCTTAAGGAAGATTATGGTTACCCAGATACTCTTGACTTTAGTGACAGATATAAAGAAGCTATTAGAAAGTTCAAGGAAGGAAATACTGACCCGAACCTATTTAGCTTTATGGTTCAGCATCAAATCGGATATAATCTCAAACCTGGAAAATACAAGCTCGCTAAGGGATATGATTTAATAGCATATCATCCAAATGACATGGATGAATTTACTCCGAGATATTTGATGTCAGAGCTAAATGATAATTCAACTCTCTTCATGAAACGCGTAAAAAATAGAGACGGAACGAAAGAAGAAAGGTTTATGAGTCCGGATGACTTAGAGAGGGAACTTGTTAAAAACGGTCTCGGAATATATGAAATGCCAGCAGATGAGGTACAAGAAACTCCACAGGAAGAAGTTCAGATACAACCAGACACGGAAGAAATAGTTCAGCAACAACAGCTAGAAGAGCCTGAAGGAAACGAACAAGTCCCTCCTTTGGAAACTAACTTCACAGAACTAGATGAAGATTTGGAACAGCCGAAAAATCTTGACCCTCAACAAGTGTATGAGGAGAATATGGAATCTTTCCAAGAGTCTAAGCAAAATTCGGCTGACATAGTAGAAGAATATCGAAAAATGTTTACCGACATACAAAAGACTCCAACATCAGATGAAAATATTCAGCATAGAATGGAAGTACTGAAAGATAATGTACGCAAATACAATAATCCTTTTTACTTACGACCATATAACGTTCAATCTTTGGCTGAACTCGGTGAAAATAAAAGGTTAAATTTCAACAAAACATATAGAAATGAAACATTGTTTAAAGTTCATTCAGAACCTAACCAATATGGAAACAAACCTACTTTTGTTTCTGCAGACTATGGAACTACAATGAGATGAGGTCATAAAGCTAATCGGATAGGTGGTTCATAAACTTACAACCTCAATTCCAAGAAGTTGTAGACGCAATGGAAGTGAATGGTGAACCAGATATAGCTGGTATTTTCAGCGCGGCTTTAATGCCATTGAAAGATATGAAAGATGCAGATATTTTGGACCAGTATGAAATGAACATGGCTGAGGGAAATATAACACCTGACGTTCTAGAACATTTATCTCAAAGAACTACACAGAACCATAGAGATGGTATATTTGGTGAAGAGTTTAGAAAGAGAGTTAGGGAGAGAGAAGGAAGAGAACCTATTGTACATGACCTTGCAAACGAATGTTTGCAAAATGTCATAAAAACTTACTTTGCAGACAATGAACCGAGAAGGGATGAATATTTAAGAAAACTCAAATGGACAGTACCAAATGAAATGTTAGTATTGAAAAACATGTTCCATGACAAAATAAAACCAACTACAGAAATAAATGACGCAAGACTGAAACGTTGGGTAAAAGCTTTCCCATTCACAAAAGATATTATTGGTAACATGGAAAGAAAACCAGAATGGCTACAAAAACATATATTTGGAAACGAGCTTATTCCATATGGACAAGCTATATTTGAAGAGCTTGAACCGGAAACTCAGGAAAGAGTCATGCAAACAATAAGCGACGACTCAAATACAAACTATGACAAAATCTTTCTAGGATATTGGTTACCTGAGATGGGCGACCAGAGCCCAAAGGCAAAAAGGACATGGGAAATTTACAACATACTAGGTGAACATGAGGCAAAGATGCAACAACTTGAAGCAGAGGGCAAGTTACCAAAAGCGACACCAAAGAAGAAGAGAAGAGTAGAACAAAGTGAAAGTAGTGAAGAAGTAACTTCATCTAGTGAAAGTAGTGGCAATGAAGGAAAAAGAAGAGTTAAAAACTCAGCCAGGAAGAAAGTAAAGCTTGGTCCGAGTGGGTTCTATTATGACATATAAATCCAACTATTCTATATTTTTACCCATATGAAATGTACGCCGCTCAGAATATTACGCCAACAGTTTTGGATGCCATGAACGGAAATGTTTCCGAATGGTATAACGAATGCGACAATGCCATTAGAAGGTCAGAAATAGTTCCTGGAACTTACGAATATACAACTGCTGTTTCTTATGGAAACGTAGGTGAGTTTGGAGAAGGTTCTTCAACAACAGTAGATATTGCTTGCGACAGGTTTCATATTATTTCTATTGACAACTCATTCTTATACGTGGAACAAGACATTGAAATAAAACCTTCTGCCAAGTTGTCTGACAAGAAAGGTTGCAATGGAATTTTCTATGTCGGATACCAATATGCTCCAGAAGTTTTTATGGGATATAAGATATATTCTAACTCTGACTTAGTTCAAACAGTAACATGGGCAAACTATGAATGGTTCGCTTTGAGAAACTCAGTACAACCACAAGCTAGAGAACAAACAGACCAGTATGCAACTATTGAGAAAATAAGAAGACTTGACCCTAACGTTCCAGGAGTTTATGTTAACCTTTCTGGTTCAGATGGAACTGCTGCCACTAAAGTAAAACTGAAACTTAGAGTTCCTTTGTCATCTTTCCTCATCTTCAGGTTTTTAAGATACTTGCCAAACTGGGCATGAAAAATTTCTATCGAACTTACTCCAAGCAAAAATAACTTAGTCATTGCACCAACACAAGACCCATTCACTATTGAAGCCAAAGCAACAGCTCAGGAAACATTCGCTGCCTTTTGCAAAAACAAAGTTGACTTAGACTTTGGTTTCTCAAACTTCAACAATGAAGTAAACTACTATATGAAGGATAATGGTGGTGCAAACGTATGGGACCCAGTTAAGTTCACATGCGAAAAATTTGAATGCAAGAGAATAGAAAGCAGACTTGCAGTCTATATGTTGGACCCAGATATTTCAAATGCTTTAGCTGCCAAATATATTGCAGTTCCACTTATGTTCCCTATACACCAAATATCTGTCAAAGACTTTGCAGGTGAAGTTGGAAACCAAAGTGCTGACCCAGGTGCAAGAACAGATATTGCCTTAACAACTGCAATGAAACATGCAGATACTATGTTTGTACTGTTCAGACGAACTATAAATGACTATTCTTGTTTCTACAACCCTGGTATTAAATATCATATAAACATAGATGGCAAATATTATCCAAGAGAAGAATATTCTACAGTTGAGGATATGAGGTCATACAACTTGACATTAGATGCTATGAACTTTAACAACAACTTCACAACAACCATTAACCCTGAAATGCAAAGTTCTATTATGCCATATGTGAAAGTATGGACTCATACAGGAGGTCAAAAAACTCAATATACAAATGGAGACCGTTCAAACTTTTGGCTTGGCATTCCATTTGCTGACTCAGAAGACTTTATGGGTGGTATTTCAACTGTTGGTACAGTTCAAATACAATATACTGGTGACAGAGACGGTCCAGATGAATTGAGAGCAAAGAAGTTTACAAAACCAATAGCACTTTTCACGGAAGATGCTCTTTTGAAGATTCGTTCGATGAAACCTGCTGGGGCTCCTCAGATTGGCATAACGACAGTTTCCATCGAGCAGATTTTGGCAGCAGGTCAGTAAGTTGTTCTTTGACACTTTTCTCACCATCGTAAATAGTTATGACACCTGTTTTGACATAATACTGTATTATAAACTTACCTTTAGAAATATCTGTAAGTTTTGAAGTTATATTTTTGTCTGCTTCAAGAACTTTCACCATTTCAGTTATACCAACTTTCTTTGCTTTATGAAAATATTTAGGTTCAGCAAAGACTGCTATTCTATAACATTTACCATTGTTTGTATAAAGAACTATTCTGTCAATGAACTTGTATTGTTTGTGAGTATAAACTTTGTTTTGCTTCAATTCAAAGAGATATCCGAATACGTCCATCTTTTTATTCTAAGTAAATGTCATTTCCGAAAAATAGAAGCGTAAGTGTTTCAAAAGGTTTAATGGCGGTGGCAGATGTGAAGTTAAATTCACCAACTCAAACAAACAGTCAAAGTGTTATTGTCAATGTCAAAGACAGAGATGTTGAAATGGGGAAACCATACGAAGACGAAGATGGTATAACAATTGTTCCTGTAAAAGAACCAACATATCCTGAAGTTAACAGAGACTTAAGTTCTGTTGCAGATATTCGAAACGATTACCAACAACTGAAAGACAAACTTCAAACTCAGGAGAAGATTTGTCAAGCTTTAAGTATAATGTTAAACTTGGTCGAACACAACCCTGTAAAAGTGAACTCATATGTCATTGCACCTCATGAAGTTTTGAAAGAACTCTTGAAACTTTTGACAGAGGCAGACGATATAAACATCAAAGAAATAGAACCCGACATTAGTTGCTGTGGTGTTTCATATAATGTCATTGACAAGATATACGTTATGAAAAGAGGTGAAACGTTGAACTTAAAATATAGTTTCCCAGACGTTATAAAAATATTTGACGACCACAACATTTCATTAAAGTTTATTTGCTAAGTAAATGGCAGAAGACATAATGGTTTATACTATTACGACTAAAAACCCTGAGTCATATAATTCTATAACAACAAACTTACAAAGTCCTCAAGGACGATATTGTAAACTAACCTTAAACACAATGACGACTAAAGCCTGTTTTGCTCTTTTGACACCAGAAGACTTTATTGTTGTGAATGGTAAAAAATACTCCTTTGAAGATACTTACTCAGATATGCCACCAACAGGTTTTGTTGACTTATTTAATACTTTAAGTACGGGTGTAACATGTGCTGCAACTAGAGCAGGTTTCATTATGTTTGGATGTCCGACTGAGTTTACTATAAACGATATGAGCTATAATACAAAACTTATTTCTGGTTTTTACTACCAACAGTTTCCTATAACAGGAAAAGGTGTTATACAAGGAATGTCTATTCCATTGACATTAAGCACACCAATCTTATATATTGTTTCAAACTTAGGTTCAAAGTGTTATTCGAATGTCGACAGAAACTATTATGACCAAAAGATACTTATGCGTATAAACAATACTTTCTCTGCTGGTTTGCCTATTGTTCATTCGAATGCAGAATTTTCAACCTTAGTGAACTCAAACACTTTGGCAAGTATAACGTTGACATTAGTTGACGCAAACTTTGTTCCTGTAAAACTTTTATGTCCTATGTATTTGTCAATGACGGCAGAAAGTTTCGAATTGGAAGATGCAACTGGTGAAAGTATTGTATTACAAGAACAACTTCAACAACAAATAGCTCAAGAACAACAAATGCAACAAATGGAACAACAAAGTCAAGAATAAAAAAATAATATTTTTTTATTCTTATAAAATGTACAGAATAGATGTTTCAGATTTTTATGACTTCCAAGCATTCAGAAATATGTGTCCATTTCGAGACTATAACAAAGCAGTCGAGAATTTGAAACGTTTAGTCATTTATGTCGACTCTGCCCCAGAATGTTATGTTATGAAAGAATGGGATGTAGTCTTTAACAAACCTAAAGCGACAATAGTTTCAGAACAAGAATGTAGACAGAAACTTAAGAAAATAAAAGTCGTACAAGTTGGTATGAAGATGTTAGATGCTTGGGATATCTTATTGTCAAAGTTAGAAGATTTTTCAGTTCGAGGTATAAAGTTCTATATAGAGATGTGAAAACTTAAATTTTATAATCCCTGGGATGCACTTTCTTCGATTTTTTTTTAATTTTTGGGATAAATTTTGACATCTTTTTTTTTGCTGGCGACCCCCCCCCGTTTATGGCATCAAAAAAACATGTTGTTTCGTTTCAAGATCGGGGTATGTTGTGAACCCGACTTCTTTCATTAATGAAGTGATTTCTTAAGTTGAATAAAAACAAATTTGATTGAAATTCATACAAAATTTCTTTTTATCATTATTATTTAAGATGCTTTTTTATGTTGAATTGTTAATTTTTTTATTTCCACCTGGGATATTTTGAATTGGGCTAGCCCAATCCCACCTCTCAATTTTCTCTCAATTGGGCAATGGGGATCCCATATAAAATGTATTGTAACAAAATTTTACATGCATAATATAGTACAATTAAACAACATTCTAAAAATATTAAATTCACATCATTTACTTGAAGATTTTATATTTTCAACAAAAATTAATACAATAATTACATTAAATTGAGGAGATTTATAATATTTATTATAAATTAAAATATTATTACTCATTAATTTGTTGAAATATTGCATTTTAGTGGTAAAAATTAAAATTTAAGTTTACATGGAGAAAAAAAATTTTAAATTCCAAAAAAAAATTCAATTGGGATAACGATAGGGACAAAAATTTAGAATCCCCATATGCTTGGGATAAAATCACATGACTAGTTCTATACACCATCTCCAAACTTCTATTCTATCTTCACTGGATATAAATATGAACAAGTAGAATGGAAAGAAAATATTATAGAAGCTTGGTTAGACCATGTCAAAGAAATTATATGCAATGGAAACGAAAAGGTTTATGAGTATATCTTATGTTGGTTTGCAAACATCTTACAACATCCAAGTGCTAAAAATGAAACTGCTCTCATTATAATTGGAAAACAAGGAACATGTAAGAACACATTCTTTACAGATATCTTATGCAAACTTTTAGAAGGTTATTCGAACCCTAATATGACAAACTTAGAAAACATCTGTGGTAAATTTAACTCTTCAATTGAGAATATGAAACTTATAGTTTGCAATGAACTTCAAAGTATAGATACAACAAAAGTTTTAAACTCAGATGCTTTGAAGAGTCTTATAACAGATAAAGTTGGAGTTGTTGAAAGAAAGTATAAAGACTCAAGAGTTTGTGAGAATGTTGCAAACTTCATTATGGTTTCAAACAATGCTGTTCCGATGAAGTTAGAAAGTTCTGACAGAAGATATGTAGTCGTCAGAACGTCAGATTCTCATATGCAAGATACTGAATATTTTGACGCTTTGTCAGAATGTTTGACATCTGACTTTTACAACCACTTGTTCTCATATTTCATGACATTAGATATTTCTAACTTCAATCCAAGACAAATTCCACATACCGAAGAGAGACAAACATTGTTAGAAGCAAACAAGAGTGTATATGAACTGTTCATAGAAGAAAGCGACTTTGAGTGTTTAGATGAAAAGTCTTTATATGATGAATATAAACAATATTGTCAAGAGTATGGTTATATGCCAGCGTCTAAACGAACATTCTTGGCAAATGTCAAAAGTCTTTTAGACGTACAGAATGGTGTATATACAAAGAAAATTTTTTCTGAGTAAATTTTAAAAAAATATTTTTTTATCCGATAGAAAAAGATGGCAAAATTCATCTCAGTAAATAAGTACATGACAGAAGTCAAAGATAAGTTAGCTCCATTCGCATATTTGAATGTTTACTTCTACAATTTTGAAAAGTCTACATTCAGCAAATTTTGGAACATCGAACCAGTTAAGTTTGCTATTGTGACTAAAAATGGTGCGAAATTTGAAGACTTAGACATAGAAGGTTTGTTAACAGTCAAAGAAAGTTTTGACAGAAGGTTCTCAAACCTTAAAGAAGGCAAAGCATACAAACTTGTTATACCTTATGAACCAAAGAAGACAGACGACTATGAATATTATGAGTCTAAAGTTGTAGAAGTTCAAGGTAAATTGGGTAAAAAGATTTTAGAGTCTAAGCCAGTGTTTACTCCTAAAGAGGAAGAGAACATTGACATTGACCCAGAAATGTTCTAAAAATAAAATTTTATTTTTACATGTCAAATTTCTTCTTCGGTGGAACTGGCTCTGGTTCAGGTTCTTTCTTCTCTTCTTCTACTTTCTTTTCTTTCTTCTTCTTTTCTGGTGGAGTTATGTCAAATTTGGCGCAACCATATTTATGTAAAAGTTCTTTGTCCTTTAATAGCTCTTCTATTCTGTTTTCTATTTCATCTTCAAGAAAAGCGCATGTGTCTTCTTTGCATTCTAAGAACTTTTGTTGGACTTCATCTTTCCAATCGGCGTCATCTCTGTCAACAAGTCTGTCATTGACAAATTTTAAGACTGCTCTGCTTAATGTTTTATGGTTCTTGTCATATTCCCAGAAACAGAACTTTAGAACAAATTCACCTTTCTTGTTTACACTATGTAAGATTTTATGGTCGACAGATGTTTTGCTGTCAAAAAGTTTGTCTCGAATATAGATAGCGAAATCGCTAGACATTTTCTAAAAGATAAAAATTTTAATTTTTCTAAAAATATGTTAGAAAAAAAGTTTGCTGACATTGACAAAAAATTTGAGAATGTTTTAAATAAGAACAAGAGGAAGTTAGAAAATGCTCAGATAAAACCTATACATGACAAGTTCTTATTTGCTCAGAATGGTATAACAGGTCTAATTGCACCACCTGGGTCGGGTAAGACTTTCACTTATCTTAAAATGGCTGCACAACAACAAGAACTAGATGAGAAGAACCCATTCTATGAGTTAGTTGTTATTTGTTCGACTTCTGGTCAATTTGACCAAACCGTCAATTCGTTCAAAGATATTATAAAGAAGTCTAAGTTAGTATGTATAAAAGACTCTGAGTTGTTAGATTGGATAAAGAAGTACCAAAGAAGAGTTTTGAAGTATAATGCTATAAATGAGTATATAAATTCTAAGTTCAAAGACCCTAATGAGGAAATGCAGAGAATATTAGAGAAGAAACACTTCAGAAACAAACAGAAAGAGATAGAATACATTTCGAAGAAATTGCAATCTTACGATTGGAAGACTTACCCTCACAGATGTCTTCTTATCTTAGATGACTTTGCTTCTCATCCTTTGTTAAAGAATAGAGAACAAGATATGTGTCGAATTCTCAAGAAGCTCAGACACTTTAACATCTCAGTCGTAATATGTGTACAGACAGCAAAGAGTTTAAGTAAGGATGTAAAGAGAATACTTACTGACATTATACTTTTCCCAGGATTGTCCGAAGACGATTTCATGGAACTTATGAAAGAGTCCATGGCAGGTAAGTTTGACAGACATGAACTATGGGAGAAGTATAAAGTCATACAAGACCCTCATACTTCTTTCAGAATTCATATCTACGCAAACAAAGTTCAAATTGTAAAAAGTCAAGCTTGAAAAATGTAAGTGTTTAGTCTTAGTAAGTAAGTCTGTTGTGGTTCTGCAGCTTTCGGTTCTTCTGGCTTTGGAAGGCATTCAGGAAGAGGAACGTCAGTCATCCGTTTGTGTCCTGTCGGAAGGAAAAATTTTTCCTGTCGGAAGGAAAATTTTTTCTGAAGTTCGACCAAAAAGTTCTCAATTTTCGAAAATTTGAATGGTTTACGGACGGACAACTGGAAGAGTTCTTCCTGTCGTCGGGAAAATTTTTTCCCTTTGTCCGGAAAATTTTTTCCAGTTGTCGGGAAAATATTTTCCTGTCGGATGGAAGGACTCGGAATGCCAGAAGGATTTGACGAGGCAATTTACCTTATAGAGCTACCTGAGCCATCTGAAGTCAAGCTTGAAAAATAAAGAGTGCATTTACCCTACTTGTTTGAAGTTGTCAAAATACTCTGTTATTTTTTCCTTTAACAATGGCAAATCTTCTTTGAAGGTAAAAATTGTACAACCTTTAATATCATAGTGTGTTTGAGGTAACGTATCTTGAACTATTTGTTTCACATCTTCATTTGGAGTCATTGAAATCGGTAAGTTTTCGCGATAGAACCAATTTCTGTCAGATTTGTAAATCTTAGCAAGGTCGTAAAAGCTTTTGTTGTTTCTTCTGACTAAATGCAACATAACCATGTCATTGTCTTCCATATCTTCAGTATAAATCATATACTTATAGTTCTTTTCCTTTCCTTTTGGTACCGAACGTGGTATTCTTTTCTGAATGCTTTTGTCTTTTGCTTCAAGCTTGTTTTCCATCTCTTTTCTCATTTCTGTATGTAAATCGTCAAGAAGTTTGTAAACATGCCATGCATAACGAGGAGAAGCCCACATTGCAACAGCATTTACTAAAAGTCTATGAACATAATATCCTCTTAAATTTATTGGCAAATTTTTACGATTTTCATGTGTTTTATGCAAGACCGAGAATTCTCGGTCTAGAGAAATTTCACTTAAAAGTTCTTGTGTGCTTTGGTTTCTGAACCAGTCGTCTGTATGTTTGGTATCTGGAGAAAATAGAACGATATAAGTTTACATTTGTAAGGTTACTTTAGTGTTAGTCATATTTGAATTTTACGGTCAAAAATAAATTTAGGTGAACTAGTGCAAATGCGCACAACTTTTCACCTCTTTTTTTAACCTCATATGTCCTTACTGAAAAAGTATGTGTTCCATATGTCATTTTACTCAGAATTTTATACAGAATTCGGCAAAAATAAAATTTAGGGTAGAAGGGTATATCTATCCCGTTTTCTACCCTTTTTTCTACCATAAAGTTTTATAAGCGTTTTACATGGTAAACATTGTGAATTCGTGAAATTCTAAACAATTTTGTGGCTTCGATTTCCTCTGTCAGTATGTCAAAAGTTTTCACAATATTGAATGTATCTTTATATTTCTTCTTGACATCTGAAAGAAGGAAATCGTCAGCTGTTGGATAGTTTTTGTTTAGAAATGCCAATATGTTCATTTTGTTTTCTGCTGGTTTCTCTATCTCTTTCTTTAAGTCAGCATAGTCGTTTCGCATACGTTCTATCTCTTTGACAGAATAGTTATATTTCCTTATTGCTGCTTTACATTTAGAACATTGTGGGTTCATTTTAGCATTGTACATTGAAATTTGTCCTGCAAGAACAACTAAAGCGTCAATGGTCCTCTTAAATTCAAAACATGCAGGTCTAATTTGTTCGTTCCATACCTTATTTCTTTTGTCTTTATTTCTTATTTCCCAAACACATTTAGCTACTAACGTAACAAAATTGTCATATGTTTTGAATTCTTCAGATTTGTATAAGTCAGATATGTTCTTATATACCATATTGCAGTCTTTGTCCATGACTTTGTGGTTGCAATGAATTCCAAGGAACTCATAGTTAACTTTACGTATGAACTTCTTAATTTCAACTGAGTCGGTTGGTCTGACTTCAATTTCTTCAAATTCTGGAATAGTAAGCTTTTGTTGTTGTATTTCAGGAAGTTTAGGTAGATGGTCAATAATATCCTGCATTTCATAAAGATATTGTTCATTTGTTTCATCTTTTGCAGTGCAATCTAAATCTCCTTGGAGAAGTTCTTGCTTTATCTTCTGGATTGTTGTTTCGAAATCAAACGAATCTGGAATAGTTTTTGACGTATCTACTAACATTGAAGTTGGGTTCATAACTAAAGAGTTTGGTAAAGTTGATGCTAACATGTTCTTACAATAAAAATAAAAAATATTTTTTAAAAAAACTAACTTTATTTTTTATTTTTTTGTGAAAGTGTCAAAAATAAATTGTTTTCATGAGTTTTCTACGATGGTAGAAAAAAGGGTAGAAAACGGGATAGATATACCCTTCTACCCTAAAAGTATTTTTCAATACTTTTTCAGCACTTTTCCGTAGTTATATATGAAAGACAATTCGAGATAAAAGTCATAGTACAATGGAATAATATATTGCACACCATTTGTTGTGAACCAAACTTGAAAGTCAGAGAAACTGTTACTAGATGGTTCGTAGAATTTGGAAGCAAAGTCATAAAAGTCCTTACCAATACATAGAAAACTATTGTTGCTTGAACTGAAACTTGCATGACACATAACATTTTGAGGGTCAAATACGTTTCTATAAACTGTCAAATCTGCTGGTGGAAGTATAAATTTAAATGGACCATCTGGTGGTAATGGTTCGTTCTGGTTTAGTAACCGAAGAAATTGTGCCCAAGAACGTTTGTCTACTTCCCAAAATAAAAACTCTGTATCTCTTGGAGGGTTAATTTCAATCTTTTGAAATGAAACGGTGGAGTTCATCTTGTCATATTCTAGTTTCAGATAGTATGTTCCATTTAGTAAAGAGTCGTATTTTTCTTGAAATTCCCAATAATATTTGTTCATTTGAGTTTGAAAGTCATTTAGAGTTTTCTCAAGACTTTCGTCTGAACGAATTGTAAAGATTCTCATTTCGTCAAATTTGTCTATTAGACCATCATGACCTTCATACTGCCCATGAAAATATACTGCGAACATAAATGCGTTAGTTCTATTTGAAAACAAAACTCTTCTAAATCCTATTGCCTTTGCATCTGAAGGACTTTGAAGCCAACGAATTGGATAGTCAAACCTGTATGCTCGGGATGAAATTTCTTCATCTGAAATAGTCCTACCAGCATTTGTAAAGATATAGTCTAACGGTTTTGTATCTGCTACTTTTGTTCTTTGTTTTTCAACCTGAAGCATTTAATATATGTAAAAATATATTGTTTTAAAATGGTATGCCATATAGCTTCTTGAATTTGTTAAGAAGTATTTGAACGTATTTTCCATCTGTATCTCTAGTGTTTACATAAGCATAGCCCGCCTTAGTAAAATATACTTGTAATTTCCTATGGTTTACGCCGGTATAAAAGTAGAAAGAGTCTTGTTCTTCGCTATAGTAGTAAAACTCAAACGTATGCTTGCCATAGTCTGTAATTTCAATTGTTTCATCTTCTAGTTCGTCGACAAATTCGAATACAATATCTCCAAATTTGCCTTTGTTCTTATTGTTTTCAGAACGAGTGACCCAACGTAAGTTTTCAAGTCTATTGTCGTTTCTTATATGGTTTATATGGTCTACAAAAGGTAAATTGTTAGGATTCAGTATAAAATGAGTTGCAATGACAACATGTTTAAGATAGTGTTTTCCACCCATCTTCATAATAGCATATCCGTCATTTCGCTTAAAACTCTTTTTGTCTTTTTGTTTCTGACTTCAAATGACTCACAACAGTGAATTTCATATTTCTCATCTAACAAACAAGTTTCCCAACGGTCTTCTCCAACAAACTCAGCGTACATTTCAAATAAAAAATGTCACTTTTTTAAAAATAAATTTTTTACTTCATGCAATGTTTTATTTTTGTGCCGTCTTCAAGTATGCCCCAATATTTCCTTTTCGATATTACATGAACTTCGGAAAATACCTTATCTAGCTTAAAACAGCCCATCTTTTCACCGACCATACCCATTTCAATGAGTTTGTTGTATCTTTCTTCGTTCGTCATGAGTGCGTCAATGTTCTCATAGTAAACCTTAACTTTCGATTTGACTTCGGAGAAGAATTTGTTGTAGTTGTCAAGGACTGCTTTTGCGAACTGAGGGTAAGACCAATGTTCGACAATAGGTTTTAATGTGGTTACTAAGCCACTTTGACCTTGAGTGAATTCGTACTTCAAAACAAAAGGAGAAAACCTTTCAACAAAGTTGTCGACCTTCTCATAATGTTTACTCTTCATCTCTTGAGGTTTCTTAATGGAATATCCCCATGTCGAATTCATAAGCAATTTGAGTGTCATTGCAAGTTTGGGGTTTGAAGCTTTCCTAATATCATACAGTTGTTGTATGACTTTTCCAACTGTATAGTTCCTTCCCGGGAACTCACCATCTTCGTTTGGAATTCCAGTCGGAATATATTGGACAAACCTCATGTACGCAGGGTTAAGGTCGACATAGTATATCTTTTCGTTTGAGTCGAACTTGTCGCAACCAATTGGTCCAGTTTGTGGAAATTCAAGTGAGTCTCTTATCTTCTGAGAAACTTCTCCTGTTATCTCATAAACATCGTCGAAGCAACCTGTTTCATATAAAACCTTCTGACCTAACTCAGATGCTCTCCAATACAATTTGACGTCAATTGGATGTCTCAATGGAAGTTTGTTTATAGCATCTTGAAGTTCTTGCAACCTCATTGGAAGTTCTTCTGGTTCAGGTTGGTATCCGAACAAACCAACTCCTTGTGGAACTGTGTACTTCTTTTGTACTAGAACTTTGTCTGGAACAACTTTTGGTCTTGCTAACAATGAAAAGTTTGTTTCGTCTTTTGGTACAAAAGTTTCTGTCAGCTTGTCATCTGGAATTGGTTCCAACAAACCTTTCTCGAAAAGAATGTTTACAGCTCTGACAATGTTGCACTTACTTTTACCAAAGAATGGGTTTGTAAGACTTTCGTTCAACATGAAGTGGTTGTGGACAATTACAATCTTCAACCATGGTAAGTCTTTGTCAACAACATAGTCGTCATGTGAAGAACCTTTAGCTGTAGGTATGTTGACTCGGATATTGACATTTGCCAACGGTGCAATTTTTGCCAATTGACCTCTGAGAATGTACCTTGTCTTCACACATGACTCAAGATACTTCATCTTCTCATCTGTAACAAGACCAGAGTTCCTGAGACATGTAAGAATGCAAGGTTCGTTGACAATTGTTTCAATTGAATTGTAAATCCCATACCTTGTCAAGTCAATGTCAGACTTATTTATGAACGGGAAGTATCCGCATGTTGTCTGACTGCTTGAGGGTTAGGTTGGTACCATTCGAACTTGACACTTGCAATTCCTTCAATTGCATTCAAAATGTCTGAGTTGGAGTCAACCATTTGTTCTCTCTTTGTAGTCTTGAAAGCGTCAAGAAGTTTTGCGGCTGTTTGTTCATTGCCATGTGCATAGTAAATGTGACCATCCAAATCTGTTATGGTCAATCTGAGATTGTGTCCTTTCTTATTTCCGTCTTGAATTGCAGCAAGTACACCCATGAAGCCTTCTTTGTTCTTTCCTTCGTCAAAGTTTACTGTAAAGGTTCGACCGGATGTAATTTGACTTCTAACTTCACGATACTTTTCATATGCATATCTTGTTCTTTCCATGGGAGCATGTGCGTCTTCACCTTTTCCTTTTTTCCTTCTCAAAGGATGCAATTGTTCGTCATGTTTCCAGTAGAATCTGGCAAAGCCGTCGTGTCCTTCAACTTGAGGTTCACTAACATCGAAAGGCATGTCCATAAGACGTTCTTCTTCTAACCTCTCTAGTCTGTTTGGATAATTGCACGTGCTGTTTCCAAATCCATTTCGTAGCGAAGACCAGACAATTTGTCATAGACTTTTATGGGTCTTCCCTTCCTATATTTAAAATTCTTCGAAACTCTCCAACCATATCTTTGTAACTCTGCTTTTATTCTAGCAGATTTTCTATCCATTCTATATGGGGGCATTTTTATAAAAATAAAAAAATATTTTTTTTTCTCTTTACTTTACATAACCGCCTGCTGCCATAAGTCTTTGACGCCAACCCATACCAGCTAATGAAGGTTGACTTGGTTTAGTTTGGAAACTAAACTTTGGTTTTGGTTTATCTTCAGTTTTTGGTTTTTCTTCTTCTATCGGTTTTTCGTCACTTTTCGGTTCCTCTGACTTTACTTCACTTGCAGGAACAGTTGTGTCGTCAACATCTTCATAAATATTATATGCCATTTGTTTTTGTTTTCCTTTCAACTTTTTGTGTTTGTTGTAAAGTTTAGAATATTTCGACTCTAAGTCAATGAGATGTTCTATAATGAACTGTTGGTCAGTGAAGTATACTTTCCCATCTGTTGTCTCGAAAGCTCCTTCAGACTTCAATATTTTATTTGTGAGAGTCTGTTTCTTTTTTGAGAGACTAGCCGTTCCATTTCTATGAAAAGTGACTTTATAGTTAGGGTTTGTATTTCCAGACCTGGCACTTTCTATTATTGAATTTTTCTCTTCATCTGTAAGTTCTTTGACAGGTTTTGACAATGGTTCTGAACTTTTTGTTTGTGGTGTCAAATCTACCGTTTCAACTTCTTCGGTCATTTCATCTCAGTAAAAAATTTTAATTTGGTTTGTTTTCAACTGGTTGTTGTTGTGGAGGTGGGATGATTCCTTTAATAATATCATTCAGTTTCACATGCTGAGCCTGACTATATGGTATCGGTTTAAATGCTGGAAGCCGACAAATCCATCTTGAACTCATTTGTCTCAATGCTGCATTGTTCATTTCATCTCAATAAAAAACCTTACATTTCCCAAGTTTGAGGTGGTTGCGGTTGGTTATTGCTTACCCATTGTTGTGCATGGTTATATCCTCTGTTAAAGAATCTTTCACCTTGGTCCATATAGTGTCCTGCTTGGTTATAGTAGTTATTTGCTTTGTTATAATAGTTTCCTGCTTGTCTTCCTACATTGTCCATCCATCCTTGAACTTTTCCTCTTGTTTCAGGATTTGGAATAAGATTTGTTGCATCTCGTGCTACATCCCAACCTTTCTGTACAGTTTGTATAATAGGTTGTGCTTTCTCTTTAAGTATACCTAATGTACTCAAAATCTTCCTTCCAACTCCAAATACACCTCTGGCTATTGTTCCCACTGCGGGTAAAAATCTAGATGCGACTCCTGCTAATGCGCCAAATAAACCCATTTCTTATGGGTTAAAAAATGACGAATCCAAACAAGGACCCCTATGTTTCTAAGGCAACAAAGAAAGCACTCATGATAAAAATCTTTAGTTCAACACCAAATGCTTGGTTTATGGATATCTTGGAAAACATTCCGAGGTATAGAGAAGATGGACCACCATACTGGTTAATATTTGTTGGTCAAAACACAAGATACTGTGAAGCCATACCATTATGGTCCAAAAATATTTTAGATGTGAAAACTGCTTTGACAATATTCGTTGACAAATACCATCCAACAAAACTGACATCTGACTGTGAAAGTTCTTTCAAATCAGATGATGTAAAAAACTATCTGCGTTCAAAAAATGTAAACCAATATTTCATTGTCGACCAAAACCATTCTGCTCTTGGTGTCATTGACGGATGTATAAAAATGTTAAGAGACTTAAACCAACCACAAGGTGGTGAAGCAAATGAAATGTCATATGACGACAAGTATAGACACTTCTCCATGGCAAAGATGAGACAAGTTTTAAATATTTACAATAACCGTAAACAAAAAGGTTTGGGAAACCACTCCCCCGAAGAAATGAAAAACAACCCTGACTTAGAGAAAGACTATATATTTAATAATTTAGTCAAAAGAGACAAACAAGAAAGAATGCCGGGCTTCAAACTTCAGAAAGGAGACAAAGTAAAAATAGAAATACCTAAACGCGACCCATATGAAAATACTATTGACTATGACAACAATGGGAACCCGACAGGTACTCACATTCGTGTTCGTAAAAATAGAAGAAAGTATACAAGAGAATATTATGAAGTTTTAGGCAAACATGGCAAAATGTACACACTGCAAGCAGAAGATAAAACTACTATTGTCAGACCTCGTTTCAAACTTGTCAAAGTTCAAGGTGGTATACTTTCAAAGACAGTTCCTAACAAATATAAGACAACTCCTGACGAATATGCTAAAGAAGTTGAAAATGACGACTAAGCAATTCTATACCATGCGTAAACTGTCATGTAAGGTGGCATGTAGTCTTTACTTTGTCCCGTTGTTTGCGTATATCCTGAAACGAAATGTGTATGGTTTCCTTCTCCCTGAGTGTCATCCCAGTAACAATTTATAGCAAACTTAACGTCCTCTTTAACATCATATCCTTGACCTTTTGTCATTCCTGACCAATCCCAATATCTATGCTTATGCCAACCTGCTTGAGATGTAGTTAATCTTATGTAATGACTGTATGCAGGTAAATTTTCACCTGAAATCGTTTTACTTCCACCTGTTTCCTTTGAAGAGTTTGCACAATACAAAAACCTGTCGACTATTTGTTCCCATGCACCAACACCAAACATTACTTGAGGACCTCTTGCATCCATAGATGTATAAATAGAACCTACTGGGTTCATTAAATCAAACATATGAGATATTATAGGATTGTCTCTTTTGAACTTAAAATATAGTGCAACTATTTCAGGTTTCTTCTGGTTTGTGTCAGAATATTTTTTATAATATAATCTTATGTTTTCAGGGTAGGTACAGTCTTGACTATAATATTTATTTCTGTCATCTGTATAATAATATACTATTCTCGTTTTTTCTATTGCATTATATCTTTTATATCTATAATAATCTAAATATAATGTTAATTTTTTTGGGTCTACATGTGGTGTTCTGTCGTCATCTCCATAGTCATAATAATGTGGTGCTGGAGCTGGGTCAGGCAATGTCATATCTGCCATTTCATAAACTCTTAAATATTTCTTTTGTTCGTCTCCATATAAGTTTAAGTAGCAGTTGTTGTCTAATGGAACTTTAACTTGTGTACCATCATTCTTTTTATAGCTTACATACATTTCATTGTTATTTTTCGGAATGAGTTTATGCCGTGTACCATTTTTTAAGGACTGTACCAACTGCCATCTAAAATAGTTATTTTCTTCATTGACAGAAAAGTCACCAACAATAGTTTCAATATTTTTTGTTCCTATCAAACTTTGGTATATTTCATTGACATATGTTTTATCTGCTTTATTTTCAAGGCTAACGTTTAAGTCTGTTATTTCAGAAGATGTATGTGTATGTCCAATATCACTTTTCCTGTTTAAGGTTTCTTGTAAGTTTGTAATATTTGCAATGGTATGTGTATGAGTCTTATTTGCTTTTGTCTCTAATGTTTCTTGTAAGTTTGTGATATCAGATATAGAATGTGTATGAGTCTTATCTGCTTTTGTCTCTAATGTTTCCTTAAGACTTGGTATTTGGTTAATATAATGTATATGAGTCTTTTTAGAATATTCGTTTTCAGCTCTTGTCACTTCACTTGACATTTTATTGTCAACATATGTTTTGTCTGCTAGTTCAGGATGAGTATGTTCTTTTGTTGCATAAGCATTGTTAGCTCTTTCTTCTTCTTTTGCTATTGCATCGTCTACATATTCTTTGTCAGCTTTGTTGTCAACATCTGCTTTCAAAAGAAGTTCATTTATAGGTTTCTCGTTTAAAGTTCCTTTTGTTGGATTTATACAGACAGTATGGTTCTTATTGTCTTGAAATAGAAACTCATCTGTTATAGGGTTTAATGTCAGTTTTAAGTTTCCTTCTTTCAATGACTCAGATATCTTAGAATAGTTTGAAAAGTTTGTTGTGTTCTTATTTAGAGCTTGCATAATGAGTTGTCGGTTGTGTTGTATTTCTCTCATAGACGCTGTTTCATTTGACATTTTTATTATAGATAAAATATGCTTCCAATAGAAAAAGAAAATTCTAGAGTTGCTACAACTAAACCATTAGATGAACTTTTTACTAATGTCGGTCAAAAGGTTGACATAGATACTATAAAGCATGAAGGCTATCGTTTGACTACCCATTAAGATGGTTAAGAGACCCATCCGTCACAAAAGCTATTGGCTTTCGTAGAATGAAGTTTGTCTCACAAGTTCAAACAGGTTTTCCATTTATTGTAAGGTTTCATATAGATTATACATCTGAAGGGCAACGAAAAATGTGGGAAGAAATTGAGCTAATACAAGTTGACCTCTCATCTTCTCTACAGACTGCGTTAAAAAATATAGAAGATAAAATAAATTCATGTTATGCAAAATATGCTGATGAATATGCGAATACCGATAGAACACTTTATGTGAGAATTGTATATGACAAACAAAATTCACAAGTGTCATTTCAAATCTCCGAAGACAATCCAAATAAAGACGAACAAATATATACAGAATTCACTGCAATGCATGGTATTATTTGCAAAGAATGTTAAATCAGAAAGTTGAACCTCCTTTAGCAAATATCTACAATCGATATGCAAGAGATGAACCATATTTATTTAAAGATGTTTTCGACCAAGATGCTGTGATAGTTCATGCTTCATTTTCTGGCGCCCAAAACTCTTTCTGATGCTTGGCAAATGACTTTTACGAAAAACCTACAAAGTTATACGAACCACCAAGTGGAAGTATTTCAGACTTTCAAGTATGGTTTACTACAGATGGAAGAAAAAGAATAATTCCATTATACCATGCGTTTTACTTAGAACTTAGTTTCATATACAACTACTATCGAACGGTAAAAATATAATTTTTTAATACGGTTGAGGTGTTGGATTTGGTTGCCAACTAGACTGTGGTGCAGGTTCAGGCTGTTGTATAACAGGAGCTTGCTCTTCTGGTTCAGGGTCTTTAGGTATAATACCAACGAACTGACCTACTCTTTTACCAATATTTTTGACACCGTTCCATACTCCTCTTCCGACAGATTTTATTCCATTCCATATACCTCTTCCAACTCTTCTGAAGAAGTTTCCAATACTACTGAAGAAACCCATTTTACTACGTGTAAAAATCTAATGTCCGCCTAGTCTCTTACGTTTCCTGTTGAGTTCCATAGCATTCTTTAACTGGAGCTCATACATTCTGTTTCTCCTCTGGTAGAAAACATATTCTGGGTCAACTCCTGTGTTCGCGTCATCTGCATAAAGTTGTTTATATCCCACTTCAGGGTTTGTATAAAACTCTTTCCATCTCATATTTGCATACCATGGTGGCAAACCTAACGCAGCGTCATTTGACATGGCAGTTTGCATTTGTACATCTGTTGGCACTTGACCATAGTTTGCCATTGCAGTTTGTATTGTTGTAAACGAAAACGATAAAAACTGTTTGACAGAAAAGTGACACTTTACATGGCAAAAAATAGAGCCTTACTTTTGAGATACTTGAGATTGAAACTGAATCTTATGAGGCGGTGATCTTGAATCACTACCTCATAAGGTTCAGTTTCATATAAAATTTGTTGCAATTTGTTATTCTTTTGCAATTATTTCTTATAAGATTTTACATCTTTTAGCGGGGAATGTTTGTTATCATGTATATATTATAAATATCTACACGATAACGAACATTCATCGCTAAATTGCTGAGAAACTTTGAGGAAATGTCGAACAATTTCCTCAAAGTTTCTCAGATTTATATAGATCACTAGAGTCCCCTAGGCACTGATTCTGGTTCAGTACCTAGGAGGCTCTAGTTCTCTAACGAACTGATAAAATGTTTTTAAATTTTTGGATATTGCTACCTGTGAAGCACTGACTTCAAGTCAGTACCTCACAGGTAGCAATTACATTGAAAGATGGGAGAAACTTTGTCCGAATGTTAAACTATTCGGACAAACTTTCTCCCATTTGTAGTGGAGATGGAAGGCTTTGAGGTATATTATATTAATGTATACCCCAAAGCCTTCCATCTCCACTTGAAAGTTCCAAAACTTTGGGTTAATAGTTTGCAATTAACCCAAAGTTTTGGAACTTTCTAGAAGGAATTGCAGGGTAGGAGGTACATATTCATACTATGTACCTCTTACCCTCCAATTCCTTCCTTAACATAAACAAATTTGGAGTTAATTGTTTGCAATTAACTCCGGGTTTGTTGACCTCCAAATGAAAATGAAAGGGTAAGAGGTATATAGTGACCCTATATGCCTCTTACCCTTTCATTCTCATTAATTATGGGAGAAGCTTTGGCCGAATGTTAAATTATTCGACCAAAGTTTCTCCCATTTTTTGAAGGGATTGGAGGCTATGAGATACTGATGCAATGTCAGTACCTCATGGCCTCCAATTCCATCCTGAAACTGATCAAAGTGGACCTTACATGCATTTGAAATTTGCCATGTAAAGTCCACTTTTTGAGAGAGAGGATTTGACTGCGTCAAATCATCTTTTTCGTTTACGAGAGTATTCTAACTTCATTTGGAATATTCTCTGGGTTTGGTTGTCCAGGTTGCTGTGCATTCGCTAAGTTCTGTGCGTCCATTTAATATTAGATAAAAATATCTCTTACGAGTACATATGCTGAACATTTGCAGGCATTGGTTCATCTTCATATTCTCTGTACTTTTCTGCCACGTCAAATAAATAAATGACACAATGGAAAAAACCTAAAACAAGTAGTCCTATTTCAAACCACATTTACTTACTAATAAAATTTCTTTGTTATGACACTTTCTCCAGTTTATAGGACCTCTCTCATATTCTATCTTGTCATATATAAACTCATAGTCATGTATGTCCTCTAACCATCTCATAACGGTTTCCAAACCACTTTTATCGGATGTAAAGTAAAAGCATGGATGGTTATGTATAACGTCTAAAGTTTCTAAAGAGTCTCTCAAAGTCCAGTCTACTTGGTATTGAAAATCCCATGTGTTATAGAACGGCGGGTCCACTATAAAGAAAACATTTTCCTTGTCTTTATATTTTTCATACAACTCTGTCCAATGACATCTCACAAACTCTATACCCTCAATATATTTTTCTATGTCCTCTTTGAAAACATTTGTATAGTTAAGATATAAAACTTTTGACATAAGTGTTTCAATGTCATGAACTCTTATAGCACCACTATATAATAGTCTAGCAGATATACTATCCCAGTCTATATATTCTGCTTTTTTCAAAACCTCTCTCACAATATCTTTCTTATCTAATGGTATACGTTCCATCTTACCTATAGGTATCTTTTCTTTTAACTCTTTCAATATATTGTTTGTGTCTGGAATATGTTTGAGACGGTACATATAGTTGTCGAAGTCATTGCATATAATCTTTGAGTCTGGGAATATTGTATGGCACAAATGGGATATATAGAAACTTCCACCGAACAAATCTACAAATGTTAGACCATTCGGTAGTTTCTTAAGTTCTCTCAATATAATATCTTTACATCTACTCTTATTTCCAAAGAACGGTAACGGTGGTTTTGTAAAATTCATTTATATATAATAATAAAAATGTTTTTACCCGAAAAGTGACAGAAAAGTGACAAAACATGAAAACATATATAATTTGTGAAAAGTGACACAAAAGTGACATATTAAAAGTGATATAAAAATGACACCATTAATATGATGTAAATAACAACGGTTTTGGTTTTGTCACCGGCTGGTCGGCTGGGGTTCGGTCCTCCTCTTGGGTCTTGGGCAAAATTTCTTAGGGGCTAGAGGGCGCAACGCGCCTGGAAGCCCCACTCACCTGACCTTATTTCAATAAAAAAATGAACATCGGATGGGCCAATTTTGAAAATCTTGATCAGCGGGCTCTCAGTGAAAACTCCAATGTTTAAGGTTTTGATCAAATCTCTTCTTTTTGATATCTGAAACGACAGATAGGTAGATAATGATATGGTCATGTTATAGCCATGCTTATGCAGAATGATATCTATTCTATCAAGAGAAAAAAGACCTCGAAGTGCAGAAAATTGAATAGTTGTAAACTAAAGCGGTGATTATTCAAATCACCATTAAAAAATTGATTTTCAATTTTATTATAAATATATATCGAACACAATTT